CCCCCCCAACCCCCACCCACCCACCCACCCACCCACCCACACACACACACACACACACTCACTTGCGCCGAAGTTGGGCGGGGTCCTCGCCCGCGCAACTTGGGTGAAAGAAAGTGTGTGTGTGTGTGTGTGTGTGTGTGTGTGTGTGTGTGTGTGTGCGTGTGTGTGTATGTGTGTGTGTGATTGGGTGGGGTTTGGGGGGGCGACCCATCCCCCACCAATCAAGCAATCAAGCAATCAATCAATCAATCATTCAATAAATAAAAAAGGAAAAAAAATCTATTTGTTTCGAGTCTGGTTTTGTTTTTGATTTTTTTTTAAATAATTTTAATGCTAAAAAAATAAACATAAAAATATGGGGATGTAGAGAGCAAAAAAATCTACACCCCCATATTTTTTTTGTTTTTTTCCACCTATGTTTTGCTTGCAAAAAAAAAATCCATGGGCCGAGTTGTACCACGTTCAACTTGGTTCAACGGGGAGTTGAAATGGGAGCTGAATGGGAGTTGAACCGTTCAACTCAAAACCCCCGTTGAATCCGATTTCGGACACATAGCTCAGATGTGCCTTGCAGCTCTACCAGTCTCGAGCCATGTCTTTGACCTGCCTAACCAGTGGTCTCTCCGCCTCCCTGGTCCAGAGTGGTAGAGTCTGCATCCAATCGTCTTTCGGTATACCTTGGTAGAGTCTGCATCCAATCGTCTCTTGGTATACCTTGCCCCTGCATGAACCACTCGAAAGCGGGGATGAAGTCCGACGCATTCCCGATCTCCAGGCGGATCGGCCTGCCATCAAATCCCACAGGAGAGGGTCGTAGCTCGTGCATCCTCAACTCCACCTCTGACCTCATCGTCGCCTCCCTACGGATCCGCGCGACGGGCTCCTCGAATCTACCGACTCCCCTCAACCTCTCAATCTCCTGGGTCACGGTCCAACCCATACGCCGCGAATGTTCCCAGAAACTGTCCAGGAATAACTCGATGTCGTCACCATCGTACTCCAGAGTGCTCTCTCGATGGCGAGGTCCATGCCGCTCGTATCCTCCTGATGCCCCCAACGGTCTCCGAGGCGACCGTGTCCCCTTCCTTCCTCTTGGCATGGCTGTCTTCGTAAAGTCAGACCTGCACAACAGGCAAAAGGGACAACAGGCAAACATTGGGGTAAGCAAACAGATGATAAGGCAAGCTCAGACCAGACCACACTCATGCAGCATGCAGCCTATCTGACCTACACAATTTATCACTTCTATTCTAAAGGCAGTAAGACCATCTCTCTCACCTCTTATCTCGCCACAAATTTCTTGAAACACGTTCCGGATACCCAATCCTTCTACTTAGTCTCATTCATCTCCTCAATCTGATACGCTCCGAAGTCTCTAACCCGTACGATCCGGTAGGGACCTAACCACCTCTTATCGAGCTTCCTGGACCATTGTTTTTCCAGCGATGAATCGTAGAGGAACACGACATCCCCAACTGACAAAGGCACTTTCCTCACCCGCGTAGACTGGTCTCAGCGAGCCTTATCATCCATACGGCTTCTCGCCACCTGATCAGACGCCTTCTGGATCCTTTCTTCTATCGCTCCTATCTGCTGCACCCGAATATCGAGCAATTCTTCAAATGACAGGCTAACTTCCAGATCCTGGCGCCTCCATATCGTAAGAAAGCTCTCGATAGGGAAGGTGGCGTGCCTTCCATACCACAACGTCGCAGGTGCATACTTGGTGGATCTTTTTACCGTAATGTTCTCGACAAAGAACGCCGTCCTTAGGTACCTTGGTCATTGATTAGGCCTACCTTCGGTCCACTTAGCCAGGAGGCTCGTAATAGTACTATGTCCTCTCTCCACGGGAGCATTTGCCTAGGGGTGCGCGGCCGTGGTGTAGTTGGCTACTACACCGTACCTAGATAGCAGCTCTTGCACCTCCTGGCAGGTAAACTCCGATCCCCTGTCCATTACGAATTCCCTGACGAAAGGATAACGCAGGTAGTACTCCTCAATGCAGCTAACCAAGGTTAGCCCAGTCTTCGTACGAATAGTACGCCCGTCCACAAAGCCAGATAGGTTATCGCGCGCATCGAAGATGTAATTATAGCCCTGATCCCCAAGCGGCATGAAAAGTAGATCGAGATGCACTACAGCCCCCACCTCTCGTTCTAACCTTGGATGTAACGACTCTCCTTGCCTCAAACGAGATCTCTCCTGGCAGGGTACGCAAGATCGGCAGAACTTCCCGATCATGTCCATCATCCCATCCCAGTAGTACAGCTCACTTATTTTGGCATACATGGCTTGTACCCCCCGATGCCCTCCTGCAATGCCATCGTGAAGCGCTGCTATGCCGTCAATCTGACGGTTCCTACCGCAGACGACTCTCCTGGGATTCCCCACTTCCCTTCTCACGAAAAGGTGGCCGTCTCGCACTAAGTAGCGTTGCAGCATCCTCTGAGCCCTATCGCTCGCATCCCTTAGCCGCATCTCGCAAGACAAAAGAAGCCCCAACTCTAGGTAGATCCCGTCATACTCCTCTGCACGAAAGACCTCCTTAATCTCCCCCTCCTCGAACTCGTCGCCCTGGCTCTCAGGCACTTCATCCACATTCCCTGTCGGGTTCAACGAGTCTGACTGGCCAAGGCTTTTCTGCAATAACGTGTTGACGAGGAGATACATTCCTCCCATCAGGTCCTCATGCCGTTCTACGTGGCCAGGTCCTTCCTCGATCGTCCTCATGTCCTCCACCAGACTATGCGAGCTGGCCAGCGCCAACTCCATCATCCACTGAACATCCTTACCACCCCAGGGGTCCTCCTCTTCAAAGGGTTTGAGGACTAGCTCAGCCCTCCGTTCGTACCCACTCGGCGCTCGCCAGATAGGATAGCCTACACAGCTGGGCACTCGCGGCGACCACTTGTTGATGTGGAGACGAACATCTTCCTTCTGATCCAGAAATTCATCAACCGGGGGCGTATTCTCCACTGTCTCCCCTTCCTATTTATCCCAGTTGATCCGACTCAGCCCGTCTGCCCGGTTCTTACTACCAGGAATCCGCTCCAACTCGAAGTTAAACATCCAGATGTGCTTCAGCCATCTGGCAACCGTTGGATCCGATGGAACGTAATTCCTTAGAGAGTAGGCCAGGGCGGTCGGATCCACTCTCAAAATAAACCTCTTGTCGAAGATGTAGTTCCGGAAGATCCTCAAACAGTGGAGGACGGCAAGAGTCTCCCTCTTGAACTGAGAGTAGTTTCTCTCTGTCGTATAGAGAGTCCGGCTCTCAAATCGCAAGAGTCTTTCCTTTCCTTCCACGTCTGCCTGAATTAGAACTCCCCCTAAGGCAGTCGGCCCCGCATCCGTTTCGACAATGAAGGGTCACGTCTCCGTGGCATCATAATTTGGTGCTCCTAACACCAACCCTCCTTCTCGAAATTCCTCCTTCATTCTGGCCACCACTTCTTCTTGCTCTTCACCCGAAACCGATTCTTGATCCTGACAGACTAACTTCCTCAGGTGCTCATTCTTAGCGGCAAAGTTCTTGACGAAGGCCCTCCAAAATCCACACGTACCAAGGAAGCTCCTGACATCAGTTATTGAGTGGAACGGAACTGGCCACTCAGTAATCTTGTCCGTCTTCTTCACATCCGGCCTTCGGCTCTTCTCACTACAGACGAACCCCAAGATAGTCGCTTCCCTCATGCAGTGTCTGGATTTGGCCCCGCTCGCCGTGAGGTTATGCTCCTCGAGCAGGCTCAGGATCTTTTCGAGGTCCTGGATGTATTTCCAAAAAAAACGCCTTACCCATGGCGAGACTTCGTCGCTTTCCTTCACTGCCGGCCCCTTCACTGCCAAATCGTCGATGTATGGTTGTGTGATATGGGGGCTGACTGACTGCATAGCCCGAATCATGGCTCGCTGGACCATCGCTACCACGTTGGTCCACCCTTGCGGGGCCACGTTCATGTGGATTAGTTCTCGCGGCGTGTGCATAGCCGTTACCGGCCTGTCCGGCGGATAGACCGGAAACTGATCATATCCTGAGTAAAGGTCTATAAGTGAGATTAGAGGCCTTCCTGCACAGGATTTTGACAAAGCGTCCGCATTTGGATGTCCTCGAGCATCCCGCACGGTCACCGCATTTAACCTCTGCAGGTCTTGCACCCACCGCAGCGTCCCGTTAGGCTTGATGAAGCAGAACCACGAGGATGCATACGGTTCGGTCGAATAGTCGGCGACGTGCGTGCGTATCTTGCCGTCGAGGTAATCCACCACCTTCTTTTCCTCGTCGGGATTAGGATATCGCGCCCGTCCCATGTTCCAAGGCTCGTGTGGCACGGTATGGATGCAGATCATAGGTATTTTGTCCACATCCAGCCTGTCACGCTCCTCGTCACTAAACGCATAGGCGCGATGCCTCCTCTTCATCAACTCCACCATTAATGTCTGCCCCTGAGGCAGCAGGAAGTCGGGCTCCCCTATGATCAATTTCCCCTCATTCCCTTCGTTGATACGACATGGCCCTGCTAGAGCACTCTCCCTCATTCGCCGTATCAACCCTCGTTCCCTCTCATAGTATGCTTCCTCGTCTTCCGTAACGAGGACGGGAACCGGGCGGCACTTCCTGTCTACCGTCTTGTACCGCCTTTGGGAACCCTGCTTGAGCCGTCCCCAAAAAAAGGCCGACTCACAGATTGCGCCTGCGCGGACGCGGGGTTCCTCCTTCCGTCCGGAAGGCGATATACCAGCTCCAATCTCCCCGTCTCGGGGCGATGGCATCCGGATCCGCCATCTCATGCGCAGCCACCAAGTCCATGGCCTTCCCGACGTCTGATAGGCTAAGGGAAAACGCTTTCACCTCCTCTTCTCCTCCTGGCTCTGCCCGAAGCCTCCGGCGCTCGCCTTCCGATTTTTCGATCATGAAGGATCCTGGGTTGGGCCGGTTCCTTATACTCCTCGGTCTTGTATTCTTGCAGGTAATTATCTCGTAATTTCCGTAGGCAGGGTCACATAGGAGGATGATCAGAGTCCCGTCATGCTTGTTAAACATCACGGTCTCCGTCCTATTCAAAAATGACCTTCCTAGGAGGATCCCGTAGTCCACGTCCGACATTATGAAGAAGCATGCCCTGGCCTTCACCTTTCCAACCTCGATGAGCACATTCGAGGCTGTCCCGCAAAACACGGCCTTACAGCTGGCTCCGTGCAGAATTTCGCAATTAGATCGGTCTATATCCAGGCCGAATTTGATAGCGTCCGCCTCTCGGATGATGTTCATTTCCGCCCCGGTATCCACCATTGCCGTACCCTTGGAGCCCTTTACTACCAAATCCACCGTACCGCAGGCCACGCATTTCCAGTCCATCTTCGTGCCTGACTCCGCTCACTCTGCCTCCTTGGGCAGAATCGTGCTTAGATGGACGTTAGGCACTAAGCGTCGCGACAATCTCCCTTTCAATTCATCGCGGAGCCGCGGGGCTGACGCCAGGATTTCCTTCAGGGTCATGAGATCGTTATGCCCTTCTAGCAGCCTGTCGATCACTCGCTCTACGTCAAACCCCTCTTCCAGTCGGACCACATACTTTTTCTTCTTGGGAGGTCCGTCACGCATGACCTGCTCGGGCTCCTCCCTAGTTCCCTTTCTCCTTGCCCGCTGCTCCGCTCTCTGATCCTCTTTCCGGCGCAGCCTCTCGTCTTCTTCCTCCTCATCATCGTCATCCTCGACTTCCACGGCCTCTTTCCTTTTTCCTGGTTCCGGCTCCCTCTTCGGAGGCTCTTGGCTGGCACTGGCCTTGGCTTGACTTCTCGTTCACGCTGCCTGCGCCAGTCGGGCCTGCGGGGTGAGGGGTCTCCCCATCACTCCCGATTGTGGACCCGATACCACCACATTTACTCCAGGTCGCCCAGACGCTGACTCCGGGCCGGAGTCGTACAGGAATACATTGGGGATGCTAGACTTCCATTCCCTCACTTTCTCACAGAGGTCCACCAACTTCTGTTGGTACCTTCCCACCTTGTCCAGTAGGTCCTCCATCTTCCCCAATAAGACGGACGACGGTTCCATCCTTGCTTCCTCGTCCTCGTCATCCGATTCGATAATTATGGGCTCTTCCCTCTTACTTCCTCCACGTGGCCCTGGAGTTACTTCCTTGTCACTCCCCACTTCCTATACCCCAATCGGTGGTTCTTCCTTTTCCTGCCATAACCTGAATTCCTCTATCCCCACCGATGGTCCTTTCTTCTCCTGCCACAGCCTGAACGTGGCAGGAGGTAGCGGCCCGGCTGCCGCCCTTCGTTGGGCTTCCGCTCTCACTCCTCCGAGCCTTTTGTCAATGAACTCTCCAAACTGATCGTAAATGTTACCGTCCATAGTGGAGGAAATCAGCCCACTTTTCTCGTTCGCCCGCCTTATGTTACAAAACCTTATAGTGTGGCCTTGCTGGTCATAATGTTGGCAAATGGCTGACCTCCAATCAAAACGGGGCCTTCTGTACCCCTGACTTCCTTGATCCCCCTGGCCTTGGCCCCCTTGGCCTTGATACCCTTAGCCTTGGTTCCCTTGGCTTTGGCTCCCCCGGCCTTGACCATTCCATTGTCCCCCTCGTCCGCCGCCATTACTGCCTCGCCCCCTTCCTCCACCCCTTCCTCCGTTGCCTTGATTGCCCTGCCCCTGGTTCCCACCTCCAGCCACGCTTCCCTGTGAACTGGGAGCGGGCAACGGCGGTGGGGCCATAGGTTGGGCCTGGGCTGCGGGGTAGATGGGTGGCGGCATACTCATCTGCGGCCCGGCTACTGGCGGCGGGCTGCCTCATGGCACAATTGCATTGATCACCGGCCAGGGCCACTGTCCGTAGGAGGGCGCCCCTCCTTGCGAGGGGCCCGCACTGGACGATGGAACCGCTACATTTGGAGGAGCCGCCGCTAGAGCCTGGGGCGCCTGCTTTTTTTCTGACCCCTGCCCGCCCTGCGCCAAGTTACGCACTTTGCGCTGGGCCTGCGGCACCGGCTCTTCCTCCTCCCAGAGCTCCTCCTGAATGGCCTCTTCTACCACTGACTCTTTTCCTTTCACTTGGACAGCCGTCACTACCCTTCTCTGCACCACCGGCTCTGTCGCATACCCCAGTTGTGTCAGTACATCTGTAACAATCCTTTTTACTCTCGGGGTCCCAGAAGCGGTCGCATCTCTTTCCTTCCTTTTCTGCCTTTGTAGACATACCTGACGTTGCTCCACCTGGTCCAAGCATCGAACTTCCACCCCTTTGTCAATGGTGGCCCAGGTGAGCTTGGTGCTACCCCCTCCATGTCTTGTCTGTTCGACGGCCTCCGATGTCGTGAGTAGCCCCATAAAAATGGCGGACTGCGCCTCCTCCGAAATCCCATAGACCTTCCATGGCGTCTTCTTGAATTCTTGAACAAAGGCCCCTATCGTCGTAAAGTCCTCTTTGTTCATCGCCTCAAGGTCCGTAGTGGTCAACAATCCGTCTCCCAGGCGGTACTTCCTTTGCATTCCCTCCTTGAACCTTTCCCAGCTACCTTGGGCCGCATCTATGACTTTCTTCACTTCTTGGTGGTAGTTGTGGAGGACATACTGGAGAATGCACTGAAACTTTACAACATCCGACCACCCGACCAAAGCTTGTTCCACCCGCTTCAGTCATTCTGAGACTCTCTCCCCACAAAAAAGGTATCAACCTTGGGGATATTGCTCGGGTTTCTTTCATGCCGGTCAATAGCCATGATGAGGTCATCGAGCGTCAGGTCCTTCCGGGGACCACTCGATGCGCCACCACCCTGTGACATCTTGACAGACTCTTCTCTTCAAGCTCCCTGACAAGAGAGAACAAGCACACCCCCTTATTTAGCATTACACCTTGACCGGTCTATTCCTTTCATTCTACCTAACTCTTACTTCGTACTCTTACCCAACATTAACACGGTCGTCCCTCATAGCTCACGTAGGTAAACTTCCTTACCTATACTTAATCACCCATTATTTTTTCCTTACCCTCTCGTCATTCTTTTATACCTTTTCTCATTCACTTCTCATACCTGGATGTCGTTCCACAGGGACAACGGTTGGCTTTCCGTTATCCCCGGCAACGGCGCCACCTGTCGAGCGCATCGGTCCGGCACCGCACCAGGGCAGCGCGGGACCCTCCCGACCGCATCACGCAGGAGTTGGTTTAAGCCCTTCGTCGCAAATAATACATGTGGAGCTTCCTTAAGCGGCTCCGGCCGAGTGCGCCAGCCATACCTCTCGCGAGCCCCTACGACAGGATAGGGCCTACGCGAGGCACGACTTACCTACACCTTACGGGATTTGTCATCTCCCTTCGGTGGGTGTATCCCCGCCGAGCTACCGGTCCACAGTACGAGAGTTAATCAGTTGCAATCGCAGAGGTGGACCAACTGAGGGCGTTTCTCGTTCGCTGTAGCATAGGGGGTACGCGCGGTAATACGCCTCTATCGGACACACATGCGAACCGACATCCTGGGGGGCTGAGGTCCCAGGCGCGACTCATCATCGGTCGACTAGGACGCATCCCACACACCACGCGCACACCATTTTTACGAACACAAAAATAAAACACACACACACACACACAAAACGACGCAACATAAACAACACAACAACGCTCCTAGCCCCTCGGTAGCCAACCCATAACTTTTCAATGCAGAAATCGGATAGGCGTCGCGCGCGAGCTGTGATATACAACCGTGCGGACGCAGGGCGGACTCATATCGACCCGCAATGCTAGCGTACACAAGCGGTCGCAGTGATGGCGTACTATGTAGTGCCCATACTCACACGGTCCTTGTTAATCTCGAGAGCCGCATTCGACATTCAAGTGTCGGCTGACACGCACCTTGAGGGTTAATCTCTCGACGTTGGACAACTGCCATGCGCGGTTGAAGACCACACACCCTCTTCTGCACCTTATGCAGAGCGGGTGGTACACAGGTCCAGACCTGTGGAGGTAGTTGTCTCTCGCGGCCCTAGGGGTAAGTCCTCCCCAGGCCTGGGCGAAAGTCAAGGGGTTTGACTTTGACGGCTGCCACAGGCTACAACGTCCAACCACAAAAATCTCTAAACAACAAAGGATAAGGAACAGGCCGACCGTTCCCCCACCTAATAAAATAAATCATAACCCTGGGGTACCCTCCCTTTTTTGCGCGGTGTCGGCGGCCTATAGTAATCCCAAACATTCGCCCATATGTGTCGGTCCCTTTGTGATCCTATAACTTTTACACACCAAGGCGGCGAAACGTCGCGCACGGATTTTAATATAAAGTCGCGCAGCCGCGGACCTACCTCATACCAACCAACAATGCCAACCCTACGCGGTAACTGCGGCTCCGGTCTCGCGATATTGAATGGCTGAAGGAATATATCGTGAGGGGTTACCTCTCACGATATTGAACGGCTGAAGGACATGTCGTTCGGCCCTCGCGACTTTTCCGCCTTCAGGGTGGGGTGCCTTGATGGGCAGAGCAAATAGGCTCTGCGCGGGGGAAAATCCCTTCCCTGGAGAGCCTAGGGCTTGGGATGTCCAGGACAAGGACCTTGAGTCCCGGCCCAGGACCAACGTCCGACTAAGAAAATCCTCAAGAAGCAGAACAACAGAACAGGAAGGGTCTTCCCTGGGCCGCTCACTCTTAAACTCTGAGTATCCCCTTTTGTAAGGGCCCCCTTAACCCATACAGACATTCACCCCGCGTAAACCCATGTATATATATATATATAAAAGGGGGAAGCATGTGACGATCACTTCTCACAGTCTCATTGGGGTCCCTCACAGCCACACGTATATATGTAATCGCAGGCAACTAAATCCAGAATCTGATTCATAGTACGTACCTACAGATCACA